GAAAAAATGTACAATCGAAAAATTTTCTTCTCACATCTCACGATTTCACCCTCGTTAATCGTATTTAACATCTATCAAATTTATATCGATAGGCATTTTGCAAATTACTTCTGCCATCATAAATTATCACCTTGATTATTCGTTTTCTTTAAACTTAAAAGCGGTCAAATGAAGAAATATCGTGTTTCAATGTCGTTTATATAATTTTTGATATATTCACTTTAATTAAGATAATTATTTAGTATGAGTATCAAGATCGAATTTTAATTTATTCTGTATCTATTTAATTTCACGGTTCTGCGATGATACACAAAGAATATCGAAACATTTTTTGAAAGGGGCAAGAAGAAATACGAGCCACCAGTTTTATTGGTTATTTCAATAAGGTGTCGTACAATTACCACACGAGTTATCTATTTTCCAGTATATATCGTATATCTTATCGCATATTTAATATCCTTGCCTATTCTCTCGCGTTTTAAACTTGATTCCGTGTTTCACTGTGCCACTTTCGTAATTAATTACCAGGAAACTTTTACGCGTTCTTAAGGCACTTCTAATCACAACATGGAAACGAGTCGTGTGGATTTTCGCTATAAATCACACCCACGATCCACGATGTATTACGAGTCAAGAATATCTATTATGATTACATCCTCTCATTTTTCTCCGTTTTCAACTCGAAGAAGTGAATTCTTCTTCACAACGATTGTATAGACGTTACTTATTAAATTATCAAAAAAATTATTAATGTTTAAAATTTGTTTATTTTTTTTTAAATTCATTCTATGCAATTTCTTTTGCAGTTAAACAATGATGGTGAAAGGTTTTCAAAAGTTTCGAAAAATTTAAGGTTTTCGACAATCAATCAAGATGCTCAAAAATAAAATTTCCAATCTCTTTTTAGATTTGATAGCATCGATGTCTCAAAGATTTTCTCTCTCTCTCTCTCTATTTTTTTATAATCAAGTTTTAAAAAACTGTCACGATCAAATTTAAAATTCTTAAACAATTTTTAAATATCATTCCAATTTCCAATCATCATCAGAACTTGAATAAAAATTTCCTTATTAATTGAAATTGAAATTCGATATTAAAATTGTAAGATAAAAGTAAAAAAAAAAAAAAAAAATAAGGGGAAAAAAAAAGAAAACATGAAATTTAAACTTAATCAAAACTGATTGGTTGGACACCGTTTAAGAACAAAGTTATGAAATGTTCTTTTGGGGTGCTCGAAAGGTTGGCAATAACGGTTAAGATTTAAAATTCCTATTTAGATGGAGAGGCAGAGGAGTATAGGTAGGAAGGAGATGGTGTCTTTGCGAAACTCACTCGGCCGTGCCTCTATCGAGATACTGGTATCGATATCGCGTGTCAATTAAGCGTGACAAGTGCGACAGAAAACAGCGGAGAATTAAGCTCGACGACGTGAAAAGTACGTGGGCGAGCATTCGTGGTTGTAACACGAGGCAGATATGTATACGGTATAGAGAAGCGTGTACTCCTCGACTCGTGCAGGTGTCGACTCCTTTTTCTTCTCCCCTTCCTCGTCATCATCATCATCATCATCATCATCTTCGATCTCTTCGTTTTTCCTTTCTTCCTTTCTTTTTCCTTCTTTGCTCTTGTTTCTTTACTACTCTTATCTTTTTGTCCTACCTTTTTCCCTTTTTTCGGGGATAATACGCCTGTTGGCAGGCCATTACGAGTATTCGTGCATCGTGACGACGTTTAATCAGGCTCGATATAATACGGCTTCCTGTGTTTCTGTCCGAGTGACAATTTTTCTTTTTTCTCTAAGAGTGGAGAACTTTCCTTTTATCCTTCATAGTACACGATTCACACACGATTCTTTTTGTTATTTTTTACAGATTTGAGATTCGTTAGACATTCACACAGATAATATTCGGCAACAAGCGGGGAAGTCTGTAAAATTATAAACGTCAACAAATGTCCCTCGTCCGATATTAAATTTGCAGGGGGACAAAATCTCCATAAACATAATTTCTCGAATCAATTTATATTTTTCGCAACAGCATCGACAAATCTCGAACTATCCTTCTCCCTACCGCTACGATCTTCTACGAAACACTCGCTCTGATCTATCCGTGGCGATATTCGTACAGCCACTCCACCATCCATTCGTGTGATTCCATACGTGTTCGGTTGATTCGAGGACGGTTGACACGGGAACATTCTTGGTGTACGGCGATGAATCAATTCGAGAATGAATCCACCGACACGGTTACACACGGGCTCCGTGTACACCGAGAGATGGGCAAAGGTGCTGCTCGGTCTAAACCGAGGGGGAGGGGATAGATTCACACCTGTGCGCGTGGGCGTGTTGTAGCCGAGCAAGTTAGTGCAAAGGCGAGCATTACTCCAACGGCGTTCCCTATGGACGATTATAAGGATCTTTATGGCGGCAGGAAATTCTCGATCGAGGGGGGGGGGGGGGAGCCGAGGGTTGATTCATTTCGAGATGGCAACGTTGATTGCATTACACGCGTACCCTGTAATACGATTAATAAAATTCTTACTCTCGAGGTTCCGGGGTTCTTGAGATCGAATCTCAGAGAGAAATTTTTTTTTTTCTACTTTAAGTCTCGATTGTCTCGATTTCTCTCTCTTCTTTTTTTTTTTTTTACGAATCTCGAAACAATTTAAAATTATTATCCTAAATTATATTCTTCGAAATCGTCGTTTCTTTCGCCATGTTTTAGCGTACGTCAGATCGAAATTTGGGGCGAGGGACAATTTTCCTCCCTTAAACGATTCGTAGTAACGGATCGATACGAATTAAATTATCCTTCAATTTACGGGTGTTCCACCGTGACAAAAGGTATCATCATCATCATCATCATTATCATCACCCCCTCCCTCCAGAAATTTGTGCAATTCGTGAAAGCTGATTCCCTAGAAACGGGATCGCGCTCAAGGCGGCCCTCGCGGCCGTCTTCAATTGCGTACAAGGAAATTTCCGAAAAATATCGATTCCACCGAAATCCATATATTCCGGGAATATCGTGCGTTGCATAATATGAAAGTCGGTGGAGGGTGGAATTTCGCGAGAAAAGCGGTTGTTTTCGAGCTGGATAAAGGAAACCCGTTCTTCCAGAGGGGTGAATTAATAATAAAGGAATGTGTAGTTGATTTACGAGCTATTTCTCTACAGGCTGTTTCACGTTGGGTAAAATTTTTAATGTTTTGATCGATGATAAATTGGATTGTCGTTATAATTCAGGTATTTAGATAGTAATTAATTCATCAAGCTTCATCAGGTGTCATATATAATTGATCTTGAATTTGTCAAGTTTGTTTTAAATTTGTGATTTTTAAAATGTCTGCATATTGAATCGAGAAAAGTCGAAAAAAAAAAAAAAAAAGAAGAATAACGAAAACAGTATGAGAAACTATAAGAACAATTTTTCTCAGACAAAGATGAAAAGAAGAGGTTAGTCGAGAGGTAAAAATTCATTTGAAACATCCTGTACTCGAACCGCGCCCGTTTCGCAAATTGCTAGGGCCACCAATCTGTGGGAAATTAATAAAATTCAGCGTGACGCGATGCTCGAAGGGAGGAGCCTCCCCGTCCACAACTGTTAATATTCTTATCGACTTATCTATAAAGACGAAGCATCATGTTCGAATTGCCCTCGAGCGTCCTTCAATTTTCTTCCTTCCTGGGAAGAACTGCATTTTAAGAAATTTCGAATTCAAGAAATATAACACGAAAAATAAAGAATCGCAAGGTATACATGTATAAATCAATTTTTCGTGTGTCTTTTTTTTAAATTCTACTCGTTCCTTCCTCGATACAGTAGAATATAATATTTAAAAAATAAAACGTGGATAAAACGTACGAATCGAAAATGAATGAACAAGAAGGACACTTTCGCTCGAAATCAACCAAGCTTACTGCCAATTTGTAACCAACGAGTAGGTTAGGTTAGAATGGATTATCGTTCCTCCATATTCGTTTCGAACGACAAACTCCAAGAAATTCCTTCCTTCTCTCCTAACCGATCCCTATAACTTCTCGTGTACGACACGATAATAATAAAAATCCATATATATATATATTTAAAATCGAATTACAGCGTCCTTCTCGTAGAGATGGAATTAAATTAAATTCTCGTTCTCGGGGAAAGAAGGAAACGTAAAGCTCAGATGCGCGGGTACGCAGCAAGATTACAGGTATAATTCGTAATTTGGTGGACATAATCGCGAGCCGCGTTAATAACGAGCAGCGGCCCCCTTTGACGCGTTGATATTTCATCGGAGCGGCGATATAATTATATTTGAGTCGCGGTTGTAACACGATTACAGCACGTGCACACGTTATTATTTCGCTTTGAATAATTCATATATACGCTTCTCGGGACGAGAGAGCCGTATGGTGATCCCCCTCGTATCGAGGCTCCATCTATCGTCATGGGAATCAATCTACTCCCCCTGTTCCTGTTATTCAGCCCATTTATTCCGTGTTATTATCGCTTCGACGTTCCTCGAAATGAGACATCCGATGTCCGGGAAGACGTTGATCTCGATTCTTGAGAAAAAGGGAGTCCTTGCTGCCCACGATACGATGCAAACAGTTATGGAAGCGCGTTAGAAAGGTTAGCGTGGTAGTTGGGAACAAAAATCGTATCTTCAATCGGAATGTAACGCCGCGACCTTGAGTGTCGATTGAGTGCAAGTTTTGAAACTAATGAGACGAGATAATTGCGGTTTGGAAATTTAATTATAATAATTTTCGCCAATACCATTTTGTCCAAGCTCGATAAATTGGAACAACGGGATGGTTTAAACGATAAATTAGAGAGGAATATAATTTTAATAACAGTATATATTTCGAATAATTAATTAAACGTAACATTTGGACTTATCTCGATCATCGATGTCCTTCTTGAAATATTTCGATAAAAGTTCCAGAGAAATCACCTCGAGAGAAAATTTAACCGAGGAGGAAGAATCGAGAATAAATTTATCGGTAAAATTATCGCGTACCAATTAACATATCAATATTCGCATTGACCGCCATTCATCACGGACCGATATATACCGATCTAATTATTCATCGGGTGCACATGGCGCGCTTATCTCTCCATGATAGTTATCTCCGATCGATCTCCACGCGAATAATTATTTCTAAACGCATCGTCGTCCCGCCACGTCGTTCCACGCCCGCAAAATTTGTAAATTGGCAAATTTCAGAGTGGGATAATACCGGGCGTAATCTCAATGTAAATAATAAAATCGAAAGTCGGTGCATTAATATACATCGATCCCGATGGCCGATAGCGATCGTCATGTCTGATTATTTACGTACACGCCTTATTATTCGTCGAATGAATTATTCGATCTTCTGCCCGATCGCCCGGCAGATTTATCATCAGAGATGGCTTGGACGCCCTGTAATTTCCTGAGTTTCTTTTTTCCCTTCCTTCCTTCCTTCTTCTTCTTCTTCTTCTTTTTTTTCTTTATCCCAAGTCAAAGGTATACATGGCCGGGGAAGAGGAGCGTTAGCGACGTTTAGGAAAGAAACCGGTAATTTTCGCCGTAATTAACCGTAATTAACGGCAACGATTAAGGAATCTGTCGAGAGCCATGATCGACGCCCCCTCGTTTAAACGGCCTCGAAATTCTTCTGCCTCCTGACCGAAGCTTTTATGGTTCCGTGGTTCTTCTTCTTTAACACAAGCGTGGCTTGTTCGTTGAGCAATGCCGATGCCCATTCGTTGCTGGATATTGGAAAAGATTAATTTTTGAAACGGGATATATTCTCGCGTGTAACGTTTTAGAATTTTAATAATTTCTATTATTACGCACATTGGCGATTAAGCGAATAATTTTTATTCTGTATTTTCTTCTTCTAAATAATAATTTTAAATCGCTCGTTTTGAATTGATTTTCATTATACTGATTATGCTTGAAAACGTGATGAGAATTTGATTCTATATAATTTCTTTCACTACGTTTCTACGAGTGATTTTTAACATTTGAAAGGTAAAATTATAAATGCACACCGAAGAAGATGCTCGAACTTTGAAGTTCGTTTTTTCTGGAAAGATTTTGTTTTGACGAGAGTTTTGATTGTATTATACATCAACATGGTATCCATTCCTCTTTCTTCGAAATTCAACGAAAAACGAGAGTTTTCTCGGGTCATTTAATTCCCACGAGGAACGCGTCATAATGGTCTTTGCGCCACACCTGCTTAATATATGATCTTGGAAAAAGATCTTCGTTTACAGCTCCTCATTTTTCACTCTCATTTGAGCCTATACATTCATTGAATGGCCTTTGAATATTAGGTACTCATTATTTTTTATGAGAAGTTGGGATCATTTTAAAGATAAAATTTTAATAAAGGTAATAAAATCGTCAAGTGCATATGTGTTGACTTTATCAATTTTACAGGTAGAATTTTAATTTAAGCATCCTAGCATTTTTTTTGAATTTTGTGAAAAACCCTGAATTAATTAATCCTGAATAACTCTGGCAATTTTACATTATTCCAACAAGAGCTCATCGATTCTCGAATAATTCTCCACCTATCTCACGATAAAACTGTAATTAATTTATATTAAGACTCTCGAGAATTACTCTCAAAAAGACCTCGAAAACATTATTTCTTACTGATCATAAAATATCCAAAATCATCCTTAAAACTTATCAATAATCAATTCGATAATCAAAGACAAGATACTTTATGGCGTTCCATTTGAAAATGTTCGAGGCAAAGCTCCTCTCTCACCATTTACAATCGTTGCATGCAACGTGTACAAAAGGCAAAGAGACGCCAGCTCGAGCAAAGTCGGCCTACTACAATGGCGGTTGATTTTTTGCGGCATTGATCGCGCGGATTCCCGTCGGTAATCCCCCGGTTCCTTGGCCGGTTGGTAATGAAGGCTCGCTTCTCAGAAGGTTGCTGCCTCCTTTTTGCCGACCGCGTGGGCATGAAGATGTAACCCAGCGCCGCAATAACGAAGGCGAATCGCGATACTCGGACAGATAGGTCTATGGTGATGAATGCTAGCAAGCCTGCAGCATGCCGCGCTATCAATGGGCATCTCTGCTGGCTACCTTCGTCCCGATTGCAAGTCATTCCTTCGACTGTGGTAGATTTCTCGTGTATGTATTTTATAAAGGTCAATCAATGGGATTTGATACAAAAATTTATTGCAATTATTATTTTGAAAAATATTTACTCGTACATTTAAGTAATCGTCGAAATACTTTCGATACGTAATTTTTGGAGTATAATTTATAGCTCGTTCGGTAATTTTCTCTTTATCGTGATGTTATCTTGATGATGGCTATCTCGATTTTGTTAACCTATATGCGAATGAAATTATTCATGGATAGTGCATTATTTGACTGCTGATGAATATGGATTTATTTGCCTAAAATACGTATAGATCATGGTTTTAAGAGAAGTTTTATACAACTTCCGGGAACATGGTTGAAACGATGAACCGTTTAAGGTGTGGCTGGAGCACAATAAACGTGTCTTTATTAAATGGAGTAACTTGGATTGAAGTTCAGGCGGGAAGAACTACGCTTACACAGATATTTAATGTGGTAGATATTAAGGTTTTTTAGAGAGGTTAGATCATGATTGTTGCAAGAAGGATTTTAGAAGGATATATGTTGAGTGTAATTGAGGTGATCAGTGGAGAGGTAGGGATCGGTTGATACCTCTTGTCAGGCATTTTAGTAGAATCGTTTAAGTTATGAGCAAGATTCTAAAGGATATGATGACTCTGTTTGAGAAGAAATGGCCAATATCTTTGATATATCTTCGACTTGGTCCTTTTCAAGGTCTGCTACGATTATGACGCTATAATCTCACCATTTTATGATACTGGGTCTATGAATATGGTCCTAGGATTTAATGACTCCAGAGTTCCAAGATTTCACTCTATAACACCGTAGATATACGAAACCGTAATCTTGCAAGATGAATCTACGAAAGTGTTTTTTTAACATTTTTGTAATTTTCAAATAACTTGTGACTTTTTCTCTTTCCATAAGATAAAGAAAAATTGAAGAATTTGTAATAAATAATACGATTTTTTTTTAACAATTAGTGACACTACTTTCAAATTAACTAACGATAATAATAAAAATCATTGACAAGAACTTCTTGAAAAGCATTTCGTAAGTTGAAAACTGCTGATCTATAAAATGATAGTTAAAATTTAGAGAAAATTTGTTTATTACAGATTGTTGAGCAAGTTTCATACATTACTTTCGCTTTGTATTTTTATTCCAATTTGATTTTTGCAAAAATAATAGAATCAAAAGCATTAATTTCCATTTTATTCTTGTATAAGTGTATACACTCTACGTATACTTAAAAATGTATTTATTACGAAAGTTAGAAAGTGTCCGGAATAGTATTCGCTCCAACGAACGATAATTAGTATCCAGTTGAGGCGTGATCGCAACATGCGATCGTTTTCTCGTTTGCCGATACACTGTTCGAACGATTAATATTAAATCTTAAATAGAGGTTAGTGTTGGCAGAATATTTCCGAACCCCGTAAAACCTACATAAAAAAATACGTATTTTTCGGAATATCCACACTTGGAAATTGTCTCCTACCTTTTTGCAATTCAAAACTGATTATAAATATTCCAAAAAATGCAACTCGATCATTGGTTGCTTTTGCACGCTACCCGTTGCTTTCTTAAAACAGACAAAATACTCGATCACGCGCCATATTGTTAAAACATATTGTGAATAACACCAACCACGCATGCGTATCAAATTCACAGCGCTAACCGCGCCTTTAGCAGCGAAAAAGTGAAAGTCGCATCTAGATAATTCACGGATAGATAGATTATCGATCGATGTGAAAACTGAAATTCTATCCGCGAGGAGGAATAATACTTCGAAAAATTCATATCTCGTAAACAAATGCATCGATTGAGACGTTCTTAGGCTCAATGGAACGAAAAGTTGAAATGACGATGTATTCACGACCTACGTATCTTTTTACACAATAATAAATATTCTCCAGTATCTTCGAAACTTACTAGCTCTTGCAATACACGCGTATTGGGAGTAGAGTTTCACTGGTAGAGGCTTCAACTTACTTGGCGCGGAGATTCTACCGAGTTTCCTGACCAAGTCTCGATGCCACGGCGGCAGTCACGCCCCGCGGCTTTAAACTGTTGGTAGACGTGGGAGCGGTTTGTTTTAGACACGGGTCTAATGCGCTGGCAAACCT